TAATACTTAGCAACTACCACTAACATTTTCAACTATTGCCCTGCTCACTGTCAGACCGTGGTGCCAGATATGGCTTCTGACAGTCCCTTCCTGTAAAGAAACCACACAGGGGAGAAACTGAAACGGGAAGAAGCCTGCAATGTAGATACAGTGCCAGCACAGAGTTATACCCAGACATTCCTGCAGCTGTTCCACAAAACTAACCTATCCAGGGACCTGCTGGAGTTGGGGAGTCAATAGGCTGCATCTCTGTGCTGACTACAGGTTCTTGGCACCACGTGGTGCTCTGCATAGAGGTGGATGAACACCATTCTGTTCTTGTCCCAGAGTGCAGGGTTATACATCTGTCTTTGTGGATTAAAACCAGTTTTATCTGTATCATTGCATTTATTGTAGTCTTTTTTTAGAAAATTGTAACTCTGACAAGAACCCTCTCTTGAGTTGGGTTAATTTCTTCTGCCAGTTTACTTTTAAACCAGCACAGTTACACAGTGGTGTCCTAAAATGTGCCTTTTTCTGAAATAGAAATTATTTAAATACTTTCAGAGACAGGGATTCACTCTAGAAGCTTGGGATTTGCTTTCTTGCCAGTTGAATTCCTCAGTTTGAATTTAAATGAAGATTTACTTGCTATTACATAAAGAACCTGCTGCTCTTCATTCCTGTCTGGCCCCTGTGGACAACGGGCAGTCATGGGAGAAGATGACATGTGAGTGCTGTGGTGACGTTTGCAGCCAAACAATTGTTCCCTGGCTCCCAAGTGCGTATATAATATTTTTGTGGATTTGTGCTATCAAGCTCTTTTCCTGGACACATTTTGGTTGTGTGTTTATTGTTCCACTGGTTGTCTGTGGGAACCACAACTCCACGAAGAAAAACGATCTCTCTGTAGAATCCTGTGCCTGTATAGCTGTTTCTTCCACATTAAAACTCCTGCTTAGCAGAATACTTCTATATTTGCAGAACCAACTTAGTTTTCTTCACACTCCCATTGATTAAGTATTATGCAAGGTAAATTGTCTTCAGGAACCTGTACAACTTCTCAGTCTTCATATTATGCCCAACTGGCACATTTTTGGTCACATTACTTTCATTAGAATGGCACATTCACTGAAACATGATAAACAATTCTGCCATGCTCAAAAGTAAAATTCAGCTTTTTCACAGCTGTATTTGCTTCACAGAGGGGGCAAATGTTGCTGAGTAAAACAACAGCATATGTAGGTAGTCAGTTTTTAGAGGAGAGCCTCATGAGTTGTAGCAGCAGACCCAGACATTGAATTACCACTAGAAATGAGCTGGGAAGGAAGTATATGTGCATTCATGAGATAGTAATATTTTTTCTCTGAAAATCAGGAAGGGGAATTTTTCATTGAATTTTTCTAGTTTTAAATATATTCAATGATCCCGTTATCATCCTTAAGGAACCTAAGCAATGTAGGTGTTTCCGCGCACAATTAAGTACTAGAGCAAAGGCTCACTACACAAATGCTTAACTTATTATTATTATTTTTAGTCTGCTTATTTTGCTGTGCAGTCCTATCTATTAGGCTTTTTAGGAAGACTTATACTTTACAGATTCCTCTTTTAGAATTTTAATTTCATTCACTTATTTGAAAGATTGTCTAGAGACTCTGAGAAATGAGCAATGCAAATGTTTGCTATTGACAATTGTGTTTTGATATTTAATGATTTCTTAAACAGTCCAGCATGTTTGTGTTATGGTTCCATGCTCATGAAGAGAATAAACACTCAGCCTTCTTTCTTTCCAAGGCTTAATATAGGCTGCTGAGATTGCTGTGCCACCTCTGGGTAAAAAGAAAAGGCAGAGACTTGCAGGAGCTGAGGTCACATGCTGAGATCTACAGCAAGGGGAAAACCACTCTCCCTGGATGTTAATTATGTACAAAGAAGGCAACGAAGCATGTATTCTACACGGGAGCTTGAATGCTGAGACTGAAATATCTGTGATCATGGTGCATCCACCCGCCTTTACTTTAAGTAAGGCAACTTGGGTACCAGTAACATTTTGGCTGAGGCAGAAGGGATCTCAGCACAGGGCAGCACAGTGTACTTGGGTGCTCAGTCAAGCCTATGTTATCTTCTGTGAACACAGGACAGTCACCAGCTTGAAGTTAGACTGGTAAGCCTATTCCATACTGAAGGCATAAATGAGCAGTATGAACATTTGCTACCTCAAAATCTTTTCCTTGGTTGATTCCTAATGTATGAGGATAGTTCATGCTTCTTACACAGGGCAGATATAATTATAAGCAAGCCAAAATATCTGAAGAATTCATGTGTAAAATATTTTGAGTAGAGAAAGTTATTTATTCTTCCTTATCAAACTTAAAATAAAAGCAATTAAAGTTAAACATTTTAGAAGTCCAAAACAATACTTTTTATCCAATCATTTGCCAGGCCTGTGAGTCCAAATAAAACCTTTCTCAAGGTACTTTAGCAGATTTTTCCATTTCCTAACTGGGATTGACCAAACCTTAATTTGCAAAGTTGTGATTTTTTTTAATAAATATTTTCTACTTTTGAATTTGGCAACCAAATAAGATTTATCCAATTTCTGTAATTTCTGAGAATTTCATTCTGTTACCGGTATTCACCCTTCCTTGGGGGGAAAAAGAATATACATGCACTGAACTATAACCCATTATACAGCTTATTCAAGCTGCTACTTACATACCATACTGCAAAGTATCTGAAAACAAAATTACGTATTTCAGCAAATTGTCTCTTTATCAGACATTTCTATTAACTGCAAATGTGTAGTGAGAAGATACAGTAGTGGTTTAATATATCATAAAGACAGACAATGTATGAAAGTACATGTTAATCTACATTTTTAGGAATTACAAATAAAACAACTATGTGCACAGTACTTTAAAATGCAGTGAACTTCTCTTCTAGTTGCATTGACAATACCAGTTCCTTACAGAGATGAATCTGGTTAAAAGCTCTATTCCCAGTGTAATAAACGTAACACCACAGGTACAACATTGACAATAGAGGTTAAGGCTCTGTTCTGACGATTGTTTATTTCTCTGTGCATACCTCCCTTCCATTCTCCTCTTATCCCAGTCCTTTCCCCCCCAACACATCCAATTGTTTTTATACAAAATGAAAAGCTCATTGCCTCCAGAGTATTCAGGAAGAAAAATTTAAGATAAAAGAATTTAATCCAAATGTAATGAAACGTGTAAAGAAATGTTGATTCATAGTAATAGCAATACCTGGCACTTATCTTTTTTTTTTTAATTAATTTGAGTATGTCAGAAGAAACCAGCATTCACATCCCGTGATGCTAAACAGTCCACAACAGGTAGCACACAGAGGATAGATTCCAGACTGAATCATAGAGTCTGATCAGGTCTCAGCAGTCTTTGTGAATTTGAGGAAGAACAATCATCTCTACATTTAAGATACAGAAGGTGAGGCACAGAAAATGTAAATGCCTTTCTCAGAGACACACAATGAACCAATGGTAGACTTTGGGTCTGTTGACTCCCCAGCCACTGTTTTATATCTTGGCCCATTCTGTCCTCTTAAACAATGTAGAGAAAATCTGAGATACACAACATGGGCCTAGTATCATAAAGGAATCAGTGTCAAATGCACACAGCCTGATTCTGCACTACCTTTTGGCATCTGTAGTCATGTTTACTTTGTAAAGAGGGCCTAAAATGCCCTCAAATCAAAGTTGATTTGGTGTCAATTACTAATACATGCACTTTAATAGAGAATCAGGCTTGCAGCAATCACTCTGTGGCACACTGAGACTAGAATTAACTAACTGATTTAATTGCTAATGAATTAAGGCTGATTCCTTATATTAAGGCCTCTGTATCATTCCATGATAGTGTAACTGTGCCTCAGTGCAAGTAAGACTGAGGCTATAGAAAAACTTAACCTTTCACTTGTCTTCGAAGTCAATAATTTTAGTAGCCCTAAACGTATAAAGTAACTGGAATCAAACAACCTGTCTCTATGCTATGGAATATTAAATAAATTATTGAAAAAGAACCTAAAAGTAACTCAAGGGAAAACCAATTATATGTTTGTTGAAAACCAAAATTAAATTAGACTTGTTATCTGGACTTGAAAATGGAGTACTGTACATGATAACACACCTTTATATGAAGAAAACTGCCTTGATATTCAGTGGTTATGAGTATGCCCAGATAAACTGTAGATGCTTATCGACTCTGAAGATTGAGTTATCTTTTACACTACTACAATAAAATAGAAATAGATTTATTTGGTATTTAAGTACTAGACCTAGTTTGCATAAAGCTAGTGTGTGTTATATTCAGAGGAGTAGGAAGATGACCTCAAGCTCAGTAAAATGCTACATGTTCACAGATTTCTCCTATTACTGTTGTTATTAAAAGCTATTATGTGTAGCTTTCTTAGAATAGGGGTTCTCTAACTTTGCTCTCTGTACCCAAACATTATTTTAGAAATTCTTTCCTCTCTGAATGCTCTATTCATAACAGTTTTAGTTTAAAACCTTCCTATTTTAGACAACAGTGTAATATTTGCTGGCTAAGAATAAAACAGTCCTTGCTCTATTCAAATTTAAGGCCTGGGTCCCCATGGGTTGCAGCACTTTTTAACTTATTTTTACTTCTAGTTAGAAGTAAACTCATTTTTTAAAGCTAATATGGAATTTGTTTGTGTAAATTAACCTAATTCCTTAGGCATCAGTGTGACTGTGATAATTACCCAGCTGAGAATTTGGTCACCGAAATGTAAGTCCAGTGGTTGGGAAATCTGTTTTGTATATAAGTCAAATAACAGCTGGATCATATGTGATGTTATGTTTAGTTTCATTGGCAATTCAGAAAATATTTAATAATAAATTCCATTGTTTCTATTCCCCATTTTTGTATACAAATAAATAATCTTTTCTAAAACATTCTTTTTCTTTAGTAAGGCTTGTATTCATAGTCATATCAAAAGTGTTTGCTATTGGAGCAATCTTTCAGTTTGCTTTCTTTAGAGTTATCTTTATTATCAAATTCTACAGCATTCTAAACTTTAATAGTCATTAGCAACCCTGCACTTGAGTAAAGAATCACATTAAAAAAGTATAAGTTATAATATTTTCTTGTCCAAAGCTAAGGCAGGATGAACAAAAGTAATGAGGTCATCTGATCCTCACCTATCAAGCCTTGAATTTTAAACAGTATTCAAAATACAAAGCCCAAGCGAGGATGCTGTCACAATGATTATTGCGCTTTCTCAGTGTCTTGCCATAGTTTTCCCTTTAGCAATATATAATTTTTTTTTCTGAAGACCACATAAAGTTATCGAACTCTGTAAAGAAAAAAAGCACTTAAAGTTTTATGAATTATGACCTAGACAGAAGGATACAAAAACAAATTACTGTTCTATGATTCAGCTATATCATGATCTAATACTGTTTCAAAACCATTATTCTGTTATTTAGGTTGGCATCATCTTCTGAACACCCCATGGGCTCTTTGGCATGCTACAAATTCAGCAGATGCACTGTCTTCTGGGCTTTACAGCTTCTTCTGACGAATGTACAACATTTGGAACAAAGCCACTCTTGACACCTTCCCATCCATCTTGTATTGAGATTTCTCCATTTTTTACAAGTTCATAGATGTCTCGTGTAAGAATTGTAAAGGACTCTTCAACATTTGTGGCATCTTTTGCTGAAGTTTCTATATATTTCATACCACAGTCAGATGACAGCTTTTCAGCTTCTTCTCTTGTAACCTCACGCTGTGACACTAAGTCACATTTGTGCCCTACTAATAGGAACACAATTTGAAAGGGCTGCACGTGCATTTTTGCTTCTTCTAGCCAGTCTTTCACATGTTCAAAAGATCGTCGATTTGTGAGGTCGAACACTAGTAAGCCACCCACAGAATTGCGATAATAAGAGCGTGTTATTGATCTATGAAGGGGAAAAAAAAAGGAAAATTAAAATGCGTTTTTATTTTATTCGTAAATAGATTACTTTTCCATATGGCAATGTGTTTTTATCTTTTATATGTTTTATTAAATAACTTTGCTTTTTTAAAGCTAATTATAATTAATTAATTTATCTATTAGACACAAAAATATTGGGTTTTTTCTTACATTTGAAAGTCACTTTCTAAACATTTCTGAACCCAGTACCTCTAGGGCAAATTTTAAATGCTGAATTATTTTGCAAAGTGCTCTTTATTAGCAATCCGTGGAACGTGTTCACAGAACAAAAGATATATACTTTTGGTGTTAGTTTCAGTTTCATACAAATATGCACTTTGCTTTGTTCTTAGTGGGGACAACCTGCTTTCCTTCTTAGCTCAGGTCTTAGCTGAAAACAAACTGTTGCTCCAGGCAAGTGCCCAGAAGGGTTTTACTCGGGAAGGCTTCCCAAAAGCATGCAGGCACCCTCAGATGGGTTCAAGCTCCTCACAAAATGCAGATGAAGTTTCTTCTAGCACAGTGGAGGAACCTATCTTTCCTGAGCACAGATGCCTCATGTGCTACTTCACAAGACACAGGTCAGTGTTCACAGAGCCCACAGTACAGAGACTCAGAAGATATACAGCTTTACAGATTATACAGGCCTAGGTCTTCACTTCGGTGATGAGAGTGCATGATGGCCAACAAAGATGAGAAGGGTTGACAGTAAAAGGCTCTTCATGCAACTTGTAGGTCTCCTTGGGAAAAATGTTATGAATGCAGAGTTTATCTATAATCCATGGAAGACTGAATAAGTCCTGAACAAGAGACTGAGTGAGCTTTAGTAAACAGACAAAGAGCATTAACCTTTGGAAGTCCCCCAAGTTGAAAGTAGATGAAAGGATAGCAGAGTACTCAGGAGAATTCAAAGACTCTCTCAGAGACAAGATATCCGAGTATGGACCATAGAAAAAATCAGATGGGCCTTTCTTATGTTCTTTCATAACAGGGAATCTACTTAGGTGATTATACATACTTTGGTAAGTGCTGCAAGATCAGACTCTAAAAGCAAAATTAAGTTTTTAACTCCCTTATTTTTGTCACTTTTTGAACAGAAAGAAAAAAAAAACCCTTGGGTAACATGTCAGGTTTGATGTAGTCTCACTTATTCATAAGGGATGTTTAAATTTCCATTTCTCAAATTATCTCTATGCAGATCTTAAATTCTTGTTGAAATTATGGCTTCTTGTGTAAACTTTGGTTCAGCTCATTAATGTCATTAAATATGAATGATTCTATGCTGGCAAACGTCGGAATTTTCAAGAAGGAAAAGAAGAATGACCCTGGAAATTACAGGACTATCAGTCTCAATTCAGTGCCTGGTAAAATGATAGAGAAGATTCTTCTGTGAGTTACTGAAAAGCACCTGAAGGACAATGCAGTCATCAGGAAAGTCCTGCTTGTCAAACCTAATTTCCTTTTACAACAAGGTAGCCCACCCAGTTGATCAAGGGAAGCCAAGCTGATATAATTTTTTTGGATTTCAGTAAAGCTTTCCATACTGTCTCTCCCAGTATCCTTCTGGACAAAATGTCCAGCACGCAGCTGGATAAACATGTCATGTGGTGGGTGAGCAACTGGCTCATGGGACAGGCACAAAGGGTAATAGTGAATGGGCTGACACCAGGCTGGTGATCTGTCACCAGTGGGGTTGCACAGGGCTCCATCTTAGGGCCACTGCTCTTCAACATCTTCATAAGCAACTTGGACATAGGACTTGAAGGTACACTGAGTAAGTTTGCTGATGATACTAAATTAGGAGGAGCTGTTGACTCCCTTGAAGGCAGGGAGGCCCTGAGGAGAGATCTCAACAAATTAGAGGACTGGGCAATCACCAACTGTATGAAGTTTAAAAAGGGCAAGTGCCGGATTCTGTACCTGGATGTTCGTACAGACTGGGGAGTGAAATCTTGTAAAGCAGTGCCAGGGAAAGGGACCTGGGGGTGCTGGTTGACAGCAAGCTGACTATGAGTGAGCAGTGCCCCGGCAGCCAGGAGGGCCAACTGTGTCCAGGAGGCATCAGGCACAGCATTGCTAGCTGGTTGAGGGAGGGGATTGTCCCGCTCTGCTCTGCACTGGTGCAGCCTCACCTTGAATATTGTGTGCAGCTTTGAGCACTATAACACAAGAAGGATATAAAACTATTAGAGGAGGGCTACGAAGATGGTGAAGGGTCTTGAGGAGAAGCCATACAAGGAGCAGCTGAAGTTACTTGGTTTGTTCATCCTGGAGAAGGGGAGACTAAGGGTAGACCTCATCTACAGCTTCCTCATGAGGGTAATTGAAGGGGCAGGTGCTGATCTCTTTACTCTGGTGATCAGTGATAGAAACAGAGGCATAAAACTGAGTCGGGGAGGTCTAGGGTTGATATTAGGAAAAGATTCTTCATCCACAGGGTGGTTGGGCACTGGAACAGGCTCCCCAGGGAAGTGGTTATGGTGCCAAGCCTGATAGAGTTCAAGAAGAATGTGGACAATGCTCACATGGTGTGATTCTTAGAGATGTCCTGTGCAGAGCCAGGTATTAGACTTGATGATCCTTGTGGGTCTCTCCCAGTTCAGGGTATTCTATGATTCTTTGTATTAATTACATCAGACTATGGCTTTAGGGAGACTTTAAATCAGTCGCAGTGTTTCTTTTTCATTATGATCTTACTGATCTTTACCAGATGAACCAAACTTTCACTGAAATCTTTATCTAATTTTGAAGAGTTATTTTTATACTATGACTAAAGACTATATTGTAATGATATTAATTTTGAAAATACATATTACTTACTGAAAAAGAATAAGGATAGTGTTTTATTTTCAAGCCATGTGTTAGAAGCAGAATGTATCTAATATCATGGTCTAGGTAAAAAGTGGGTTAATATAATGGAAGCCTCTCCACAGTATCTTGCCCCTACTGAAATGAACTCTCAGTTTTAGCACCAATACCAAGCACTTTATAGCACTGGAGGTTTCATCTTTTAAATGTATTGTTGGATTTAAATACAGGAAAAGTAAACAAACAAACAAACAAAAATCACATCAAAGTACATGATGTAAAACACAGCCAAAACAGCATATTGCTCTAAATGACTAATCTGAAGATAGAAAGAAATTGAGGGTGTACCCCTCATTTATGTTAGTCTGCATTACAGACCGGAGCTTATACTCATTCTAGTAAGGTGTTAAAGTCACTGATTATGTTGTTGCTGTCCGTGTGGCACCTCACACAATGGGAGATTCTGCTTAGCTATGCCTTACTGATGTCAAAGTAAATATAGTCAGTAATCGCCCTATCTGAGCTCCAAATAAGTAACAATCTACCACTACTGTTTGCAGTGGAAGTGGTGAGAATTGCTTTATTGGAGAAGTAATGCAAACAGTGCATATTAAAGATGATTTCTGAAACAATGCATGAAATCCTGTTCAAATACAGAAGCATCAATGCACTAGAGACATGTAAGAATTTTTCTCAAACAATTCCTCCAAGAAAGTACATGATCTCTTTCAAGAGAGTGTGACAGCAGGTGTGTCACGTCTTACTCTTCCCCTGGGAATGTCCCTTATGCCTGGGACCAAAATTAGGGGGTTATTATGCAGCCAGTTGTTTTCTGTGCACATGCAGGGAACTCCCCTGGCAGCTTTAAAGACAGGTTTTACCTCCTCTAAAGCTCCAGTGCAAGTGAGCCAGAGTGGAATTGGGAATCAAAACTGCAAACTGATTGGTGTTCCCCAGAAGTAGATAACTTCTTGGAATAATTAGTTTTTCCCCAAGATAATCTTTGCTTGTGATCTGTAGTGTTCTCCATTATCAGAGAACAGAATGTGCAACATTTTAACCTGTGGTGTATAACTTAGTAAAATATTTAGAATTTCTTTGAGTAAATGTAAAACAGACTATACAATAAATGCTGTCATATTTGGTACACCAACTGACAAGAAACTCCTAGCACAAACCCAAACACAAGTATTTACAACTACTTCAGTTTGTATTTATGGGTACTAGAAAAAACACAGAGGTATACTAATGGTAAATTTAAAAGCAACTGACTGCATGACTCATCAGTGCACATTCCCTGAGCATTAAAGGGTGGCCATCATTTGATTTTAAATGTATGCAAAATTCTCTGTATTTTGTATTTCTTTCATTTGAGTGTCTTGTCATTGTCCATCCTGGCTATTTGTCAACAAATTCAAAATAAAGAGATTGTACATCCTTAGTCACTTATTTACAAGTACTTTACAAGCTGTCTGGAAAGCACAAGGAGAGTGAAAAATGCTAAGAGCTTGCTATTATTCCTGCTAATTTCTTTGCTAATCCTTCAGCAGCCTGCCGGCAAGAATGTATATGAAGTTCTGAATCATGTAAGCCCAAGAAAGTTGTTTGTTGTTTCACTGTAATGCTTGTTGTGGAAAAAAAAGAAGTTGGTGTTCCCCAGTAAGATAGTGCAATCCCACCTCTTCAGCTGGGTGTGGGAATCTGCACAACTGTTGCGATGGAAGACAGGGAACATAAGAATTGATTCTGGCCAGCAAAGAGGCCCATTTCAACCCTCCTGCTAGCATCCTAGTAACAACAAGTGTGTGGGTTAGGTATATGTAGATGGGCTATGCATTTGCCCCCACCACGAATTCATATCTGTTGAACCTCAAGTCCAAATTAAAATCCATATGCAACTTGCCTGAAGCTGCAAGCATTACAGATACAACAGAGGCACAAGAGTGAGTCAGTTCGTAAATTGGGGAATGACTGTGATTCTTTTTGGGGCAGGAAAAGAGGGTAGTTTTGCTACTTGTTTGTGACAGAGGGGAGAGAGGATTTAATACTCAGTGCAGCATTTGAGCTACTTTAGCTGCAGTATAAATGGTAGAGGTACTATTGAAGGCTCTTGGCAACCATCGGTGCAGAGCAGATGCAGAAGGCAGATAAAACACTACTAAGGGACTGTAGCTGGCTGCCCCATAGCTTCCACACTGCCATGGCTGCACGGGTGCTCACGGTGTTGCTGTGCTGGAAGGAGGAAGAGCTGGGAGGTGGCCTGGTCTCTCCAGATTGCATGTGAAGGAGAGCTAATGGCAGAGGGAAATACTGCAGAGGAGAATGAGTTCGGAGGTGATGACAAAGTAAGAAATGCGGAGTTAAGCAGGGGCCTCTTGCTGCAAAGAAGGAAAAAAACGTAGAGGAGGGATTGCTACATTAGGTCCAGGATTTCAGGGGAAAGATGAGTGAGGGAAGAAGAAACAGGAGGAGGCCACTTGTTACCCACTAGTGTGAGCTGGGAGGGGAAGGGCAGCTGTTCTCTGCTGTGTGTGAAGGGAAAGGGTAGGGAAGGAAGAAGCTCCTGGGAAGGAACTGGTGGGCAGTAGGGCAAGTGGGATGGTGGGCCACGGGGCTGGGACCACTGACAGGGGTGGAGGACTGTTTGGGGCACAGCAACCAGACTGGTGCAGGGAGATGTGTTCGGGGACAAGTCAAAGCCCTTGGGGCAGGAGATGTGTCGGACGATGAGGGAGGGAATCAGGGTATGCTCGGGGGCCGGCAGGTTTGGGGAGCAGGTGGGAGGGGGTCGGGTCCTGTACCTGAACCGCTCTGCCCCGCCCGTGTCCCAGAAGCTGCAGCTTGACCCTCTTGCCAGGCTCGATCTTCCAACCAGCCGGGAAGAAGAAGTCCACCCCACGAAGTGGGATCGAGTGCAGCGGCCCGGGAAGCGGCAACTCGTGAGCGTCAGGAGACAGGATCTGCCCACGTGGAGCTCCCAGCACGAATTCAGCCAGGAACTGGTAGATCAGATCGCACCGTTCCATGGCGGCCCCGGCCCTGGCGCCCGGCTCCGCCTTGGCCCTTCCTGGGGCTCCGCGCGCCGGTGTGCCTGCACCGCGCCCCGATCGCCACCCACGCCCGCATCGGCGCGGCGGGCGGGCGGCGCGGGGAGTGCGCGGGCCTGGGGCGCGGCTCCCGCGGGGAGCAGGACGGGGCCCCGCGCCCGGCGCGGCGGCGGGCGGGCGGGGCCGGGACCCGGCCCCCGCCCCGCCCCTGGGGCTTCCGCGCCGTGGTCCTGCCGGGCGGCTGGGTCGTGGGTGGGGCGGAGCGGGCGCTGTCCCTTCAGCACCGCGCTGCCCCCGTCCGCCGGCGGCTCCGCGCCTACGCTCCCGGCTGCCCCGGCGCCTCCGGCTTGCCCGGCTTCCCCGGCCTGCCGCCGCCGGTGGTGCGCTGGGGATCGCCTCTGGCGCCGCCGGCCTGTGCCGCCGCTGGCGGTGGCGCGGCGAGCCGCCCGCCGGCCCGCCCTCCCACCGCGCCGTCAGTGCGCGGCGGCAGCACGGGCCCCTCCCGCGACACGGAGGGAGGGAGGGCGGGGCAGGGTCAGCTTCCCCGCTGCCGTGGGCTGCAGCCCGCGCCCAGCGGGGGCCAGCTCCCCCGCGGGTGCAGGGGTGGGCGGGAGAAGGGGGATGCTGGGGCGGGGAACCCAGGCCGGTATGGAAAATCGTGGGTGAGAGACTGTTAAAGCGTGACTTTTGCAAAGAAAAGTGGGAGCAGAAAGGAAACACCGAGGAGAGGTGTGAAAGAACCAGATCGGCAGGTAAGAAAGGGGCAGGGAGCTGAAAGGAAGCTGTCCCGTGGGATGGGAGCTGGGCAGGCCGACCCGCAGAGGAACAAGCGCCGGGTCGTAATGATGGGCTGGGCAAGTGGCAAAAAGAAAAAGGAGAGTTAGCAATCCAGGTATCCCCAGAGAGAATGATGCAAACTGCCTAGAAAAAAGGCATAATACTGGAAATGACAGGGACGTACACTCCTCATTTCCCAGTGGAACAAACTGCATGTATTGGGCCTTGGTGAAAGTGCCTTTACCCACAGTAATAGAACAATTCTGCCAGTAGAGATGCCCGTGTCAGAGAAATCTCTTTGCCCCCCCGGGATCTTCAGCTGAGTATCATGTTATGATAAACCTGCTGAGCAACAGATTCCTCAGACTTCTTTTAGAGTCTCGGAACCACATGGGATAACAAACACGAACAGTCCTCAGATGGCTGGTAAGGGCATTGGAGTAAAATAAGAGGAAATCTTCGGACTTCTGGTAAACAGAATTGCAGCAACTTCTTCTGTAGATTGGGCTGGGGTGAGGCAACCGTGGGTGGAGAGCCTGAGAACCCAGCAGAGTAGCCTGGGAGTGCTGGGAAGTAGGTTGTTGCTGGCAGAAGGTCAACAGCAAGTGGATACTGATATGAATGAGCACTTTGATAGTGAAAAGGACAGGGAGAGATGGGTGGTATTTTTTTTTCACACAGCCTGTTTTCCTCTGTTAGTGTCAGGCACAAATGCAGCTAAAACCCTAACTGCACGTGGCTGGTTAGGGGCGTATCTGAAACCGCATTTTTTTTGTAACTCTGTTGGGCAACTTGTTGTGAGTATTCTCATCGCATGAGTCTGTTTTTGTTATTGCAATTTGTTACTTGGTCACCGGTGTGAGACTAACAGATTACCCTTGGAGGCTTAGGTAGATTTTGGAGCTCCGTGGTGTGGATGAGTGAGACCAAGGGCACCTTGGCCCCTCACCTGACCAAGGGCAGGGTGAAGTCAAAAGAGGGGTTGCATGCACTGCTCAGGAGTTCATGTCTCCCAGCCCCAAAATGAGTTTGTCTGGGATATGCATGGGTGGCTGGCCCTGAGGGACAGTTCCAGATGACCCCAGAACCTTCCAGCAGAGACTTGGCCTGGCAGTCCAGAAGCTGTAAAAAGCACAGCCAGAAGCTACCAGAGGGATTTATCTTGCTATGTATGCTGACCTGAAGCTGCAAGATGCTGCCTGCTCCAAGAATCCGGACTCTCCAGGGACCTTTTTGGCTGGCCAGTCAGTCTCCAGGACTTAGTGCTTCTGTATCTGCATGTGTCTCCTTGTGTGTTCCCTCCTGAATCCTGCACATTTCTCCATTGTACTTTCACCAGCTCTTTGCCTCAAAATAAATTGAAAATAGTTTGTACTTGACAAGTTGCTCCTTTGAGAAACAATTAAAACAATGTTAACTCAGACAAATGAACCTTCGTAAGACTAAAATCAGTCAATTTCTTGCAGTTCTGCCTGGGACAGGATTACGGGTGATTCCTGGGGATCTAAGTGTTCTGAAAAAAGTGGCACTTAGAAGTGTTTGTGTGTGAAACAGAGCTTTGAGGTATGTGACATCAGTAGCTCTGATGCTTGCTGAATGTAAATAGGGCAAAATTTTAAGTGGACTTTGATCAGTATATAATACCTAGATCCTTTATAGATTACCACCCTGGCTAACACCCATAGGTCTTCAAAGCCTCCAGTATGTGCTGTTGAGCTTAGAAGCACAGGAGATTGCTGTCCTTTGCACATCTGGGCTGGAAGAACCTCACTTTAATGAGTTTCACAGCTCATTTCATTCCTAACAGATGAGCAAAGTCAATTTCCCTTTGGCATTTACAGTTGAACTAAATATGTTTGCATATATTTTCAGGCTTCCACAGTCTAGTTTGTCTGCCTAAGCTTGTCATTGTAGAAAGGCAGTGGTATATAAATTCACATATCTCAAGCACAGCCTTATACCTTCACTTGTGATCTTTTGCGTGTCATATGTTAAATGGGGAGCCTGCATTTGTATTGTCTATTGTGAGCAAGATGGGTGAATTTTATGTCCAAGTCATTCAGGTTTTGTTCATTTACCAGTGAGTACAGAGGCTGTGGCAGAATGCAGTCTATCACAAAGTTATCAGACCAGCAGTCAGAAGAAACGATCAAAAATGGGTATGTTTTGAGGAACTTTGATGGTTAGAGCAGAGTAATTGAAGCACCAACATGAACCTTACTTTCCTTCAGAGAATTTCTACTACTTGTGCACTGGCAAATTCAATCTGCTCTTCCCAGACAGGATGAAGCAAACCTAAATTCTGGGAAATAATAAGAGAGCCAAACAACCCCAAACTTCCAAATCTACTCTAGTCCTAGCTAGATAACTGCACTAAGCTGTAAATCCAAGATGTTTCAATCTAAGAATTCCTCATTTCTTGTGACATTTTTGACCTGCATGGATTTTTCCCAACTGGGAAAAGTGGGTAGATTACTAGTGACTACATAAATCACAGCACTCCTGAACGTGCACACATGCTAACATAGAAATTTAGAGAAGCACAGATGAAAGTAATTAATTCTCAAGCCCAGACAGCCTGAGACTGAGAAACTGTGCTTTCTGCTGCTACCCAAGAACCTAAGAGAATTGAGGGACCAGTCTGGAAGCAAGATGCCATCCATTCCTGTTTTAATTACCTAGGCTATTAGTCTGGAGGCTGATACAGCTACTCATTTTATCACAGGACAAGTTTCAATAGATGCAAAGTATTGATTTTTTTTTTTTTGTGGTGATCTATCTTATTTTTGATAGAGTAGTACTGAAGGTGGAATACTCCCTCCTAATGAGCAATGACTTTTCTTCCTCTAAGATGTCATCAAGCCAGGTAGGTTTCATATGATGGTGGGAAGGACAACCTCCTAGAAGATGTCCTTGTTTGATAAGGGTGTGTACCACAGTGAATTTATGCTGATACTTTTGGTCTGAGTTTGGCCCAGACAACTATAAAAGTTTTGTTCTTTCCCTGCCAAGTTTTGAGAAAACAAATACTGATAAACGGGTACCTCATCCTTGGAGAGAGAGCTTCTTGTATAAACTGTTTTAATTGGTGTTCTGTGATTGGCTAATTGTCCTCCAAGGTCGCTTGAAGGAGAAAGTGAAGACTATAATGATGAAGTAGTGCCCCCAGACTCATTTGGAAAAGACCCCCCGAGTGCAGTACGCAGGCACAGGGAAAGCCAAGTGTGTGCAGAAGAGATGCACTTACATAACTAAGGGGTGGGACGGAGAGCCTCTGGCTGGGCAGTGATGACCACTCCTGCTGAGGTTGAGGTCACTCAGTTAATTGTATAAAAGCAGATAGTGCTTTCTTAGAGGGGAGCTAGCATCACACCAAGGACAACGTTGCCTTTGGCGGGGATACCTGCCAGTTTGTGAACTTACTGACTCTCCAAGGATGCAGCTCCTGCTATGGGTAATTATAGGCACGCTAGGTCGGTAAGGTGACTTTATGGGCAACAGATGGGTAACTGGGGAGGTCATGCTGGGGGCTTATTTCTCTCCTCCTTCCTCCCTTTTGGGTTTGTTTGTTTTGTTGGCCACCTCTTGGTAATAAATATTGGTTTTTGTTAAGCTTTCAACGGTGTCATGGTCTCAAGATTCGGTATGTTTCGAACCCTCTCTAATACAGGGTGTTGTTGGGATAAATATGTGCATGAAAAACCATCAGTATAAACATTGGGGAAAAAAGCAACTTGCACAGCTGAGTCATCAGAATCCATGAATGGATTTATATATAAAGATATAAAGATATAAATAAATAAATAAATATCTACATAGAGAACCGCTTTGTTTGTGAGGCATTAAAATGGCTCTGTGGAGGTGATGCAAGTGAAACTACTTCATAGCAGAATGAACTCACAGAGGCAGTTAGTGAAGAAAAGAAACACCCAGCTGCGACAAGAAGAAATTCTCCTGACTCCTCAGATCTGATCTTCCAGAAATACCTAAAGCACAATTTCAAAGACAAGCCTAGGAATAAAAGTCCTAACTTTTCAGAATACTAAAAATCAAGGACTGAGTATTTAATCAATAAATGTTTTATAACCGTTAAATATTTTTATACTTTTCCTCTCATCAACTCTTAAGCCATCCGTGTTCCACACCAGTAAACAACATCTACCTGTCTGTAGGCCATCATTGTGTCACCCCTGTTAGCCAACTATCTCCTCCCTCAAAATGTTAGTAGTATTTTGTTATATTATACTCAGAGCAATGACTCCCACCTTGATCTTTGCTGTGCCTAGATCAGACATACTACAA